GGGACAAGTTTAGATAACTCAAGTCTCCATAAATCATGTAGCCAAGGTGGGTAGAAAGGGTCATATTGTTTAGATGATTCCTTAGTGCTTTTTAGCATAGACTAGTGGATCCACTTAGTTGAGAGGTTCTATACCCCAACAAAGTATATGACAGTTCTGGCAGCGTGGGCGAGACGTTGTATCATCACATAGCTCATAGTGATGGTTGTCGGCAGGGGCGGATCTATGAAGGGCATTGGGGGTGCCACGCCACCCCCAAACTTCGACGGAAACTCTATATATACATAATATTTATATAAATATAAAGCGTGCCACCCACAGAACAACATTGGCTTGTGGTGCCATGGTAGGAGGGCAACTTTAGAAGGTTGAGGTTGCGGGTTCGAATCCCATTTGAACCTATTTTTTTGAAAAAATGCTGCTGACGTTTTTAAGTAAAAAAAAAAGGCAGCCCCAAGCCCTTTTTTTTTTAAGGAAAACAGATGCACATTATTTTTATTTTTTAATAATTGTTATTGACATTTTTAATTTAATCGAATATAAAATTAATTTAATCGATAAATTTATTTGGCACCCACGGACTCTAAATCCTGGATCCGCCACTGGTTGTCGGTTAGAGAATCTCCCACAGAGTTGTATTATATTTTATTATATACAAATTGAGTTGTTATTGTATTCTTCAATACATTGAGTTGCTATCTACTGTTTTAAAAGCTTTCCATATATTACATCTTTTATTGTTGCTTCATTTTTGAGTATCTTGAGTTGAATTGTGCTTCATTGAGTCGAGTACCTTATTGTTGAGTTGAGAACATTATTACTGAGTTAAGTATCTTATCCTTGAGTACTACTGAGTTGAGTAAGTTTGAGTAGTTTTGAGTATCTTTGAGTATTCCTTGAGTTGAGTAAGTTTGATAAGTTTGAGAAGAGGTAAGTATGTTTCTTTTCTACTAGTTCAAGCTTATGTTTATGCTTTAGATTTCCCCTTACATGCTCGTACACTTCATGTACTGAGCCATTTGGCCTGCATCGTTTCATGATGCAGATACAGGTACTCAGGATCATCAACAGGTGCTTCGTTGATACCGTATGCATTTTGAGTTGGCTATGGTGAACCTCCTTGCTTCCGGAGGGTTCCACTTGTACTTTCAATTATATCAGTTGTTAGGATGTCGTGGGTCTTGTCCCGACTTCCATCTTTGTCAGTTAGAGGCTTCATAAATAGACAATAGAGTTTGAGAAGTCTGTTTCATTTATCTTGTTAAATGTTTTAAAGACTTGAGTTGCCTATTTTTGGCTAGTTGAATATTCAATTATATTCTAAGTTATTCATTTTGAGAAAATCTTTGCATTGTAATTCAGTTTTAAGCTTTGTATGCTTGAGTTAGTCTTCTGCTTGTAGTCAGCCAGGATGAGGGTTCGCTTGGGGATCAACAATGGTTCTCGAGTGCCGGCCACGTCGGGTCATGACAAACTGTATAATTCAACTATTTTTGTATAAACTCAAACTAACGAATTTATACAAACACAAACATTTGAACATTAAACAGTTCTACAAATTATATCGTACAAATTACATTATAAAAAAGTTATACAAATTTTATAATACAAGTTCCAAATTATACAAATGTGCGAATCACACAAAATAAAAAATTGAGTTGGGTAATTATAGCTAAAAGTATATCGTAGATTGTAATTAAGACAAACTGTAGCTATATTAACTAATCAACTAGTATTTATTTGCTTATCTGCCTAATTTTCCCATAAATTAACTACCCAAAAGAGTCGTTGATTTGAACTCAAGACAAGTCCTTTTTTAGTTACGTTACTATCAAATCATGTAATGGAGCGGTAATTATTTTATTATTAATTAATCAAAAGGCGCGAGTTCAAGCTAATCTAAATACATAATCACTAAATACCAAACATCGGATGGGTTACATCACCCCACATATGCACATTCCCACTTCTAATTGAAAAAAAAAATCCTATGTATCTCGTGCTCAATGAGGACTTCAAGAACGGGTTAGCAAATTAATTAAGACTTAGTATGAATTGGCTTATTTTAAGTATTTTAAGCTAAAATAATTTTTAAACAATTTTCATAGTAGGTAAGTTAAAAGAAAATTTTATAAGCACTTAATTTTAGGTCAAACTACATAAATCCCACTAGTTTAGGTCCTAATTACTAACATTCCCGATAGTTTCAAATATTACTTTCTCTATCATATTTTACACTTAGGATACATGAGTTTGAATCTGTGAGATACATGTATCTACCAAATGGACAATTAATTCTGGAAATTTAAATTAATCAAATCCCTTAATATAAGGCGGAAATCAAGGAGTGTATCTATGTTTAATTAATTTTATTTTATTAATATTTGAAATAATAATTTCACTAATATTATTAATAAAAGACAAAAACATGTAGATCTTGATCATGTAATTTGATTAATTTCATTTTATTACTCTTAAAATAATAAATTCATTAATTTTATTTATCCATTATAAATAAATGATGTATACAACAAACCAAACACTTAGATACATGAGTATCATACAGGTACATTCATATGTATCATAGAAGTATCTAGTATTATTAATTGTGTATATTTGTTATATGTGTCTAGTATTAATTTCATGTATCTATTTATATGATATAATATTAATTTCATGTATCTATTTATATGGTCTAATTTTAATTTCATGTATCTAGTATTAATTTGATGTATCAAGTGTCAATTTCATACATTATATTCAAAGCATGCACATCTTGGATTGACGGTAGATCAGTATCTGTCTTATCATTAATCCAAGAACAAAAGTAAAAAAATTCAAAATTCTTCATTCTTTTTTTAGCATTTGAATTTTTTTTCTCATAGATACATATAATCTTAACTCAGATACACAAACTCTTAATTATAGACATGTATACCTAATGTGTATCAAACATTGTTGCACTTGATACTTAATGGTGTATTTTTTTCTGTTAATTAAAGCTTGGTGTAATTCTTCCATCTTGATTACGTTCATAGCTAGCTGGTCAGGACATCTCATCGCGATGGTATTTGTTTCACCTTTTGATTTGTCGATGTTGCTCGCTTTGCCTAGATCTGACAGACCTCCGGTAGAACCATTGAAAATTTCGCTTTTTCGTCCCTCCGACTAATAAACTTTTGAAGAAGAAGGCCCTCAAGTTGTCAGAGATGAAATTTGAGTTAACTAAAGAGTGAAATTGTTAGGAAAAAATCGTGACTAATTTGGCAGGAAAAAAAAAGCACAAACAAATTACTTGAAAATAACACCAATTGCCATTATATTGTAGCCTCCTCTATACAATAAAATACATGAACTATAATTTTCTAAAGCTATTACATTATTTTTCTTGAATCAGATTGTTTGTGGCAGGTATCACTCGCTAATAAGTGGGAGGTGGGTGGGAGGAGATTAGGGTTGGAGATTGAGGGAGATGCTGAGAGAGAAATATATTTGATTGTTATTAAAATGTTAATTGTTGAGTTTAAATATAAGGATAATTAATCAATCCTAATTTTAAGGGATGTGAGTATCAGATTGTTTCTTCAATAATATATGGTATAAAATATTAAAAGTGGTACTATATGTAATTGTTTGAAAGTAGAGGTAATATTAGTATATATGGTAGTGATATATGTCTAATAAAGTAGTTTATCCTTAATTTTAAGCTAAAATAACAAAAATAAGAAAAAAGTCAAAAAATTAAAATTTTTAACTTGTAACTTTTCGCTTATAAGTCAAATTGAAAAGCCAAATCTAAACAGACTCTAAATTATTTCTACCTATGTATTACATGCATACTCTCTCATATACAACAATATACATATACTCTTATAGTATCATTGACTAATGAGTAATTTCTGAACAAGAAATCCTTAATGATACCAATACAATATATATATATATATATATATATTCTGATTTAGTATCAGTTAAACAAAATCGGTCTTAATGAAATCAATACAGTATATGATACTGATTTAATATCAGTTAAGCAAAATCATCAGCCTTAATAAATGAGAGTATTGGCTGTAATTCTTTTTTCGAGAGAATGAGTATTTCTTGAATTACTTTGGATTGGAATAAGAACATGTAATTATTTTGAGTTTTATAGCTATTTATGTAGTTTACCTAATTCTTTTTTCAACTTAATTTTTAGGGTCCCTAATTTTTAAAAAAGATACAGGCCCCATTAATTTCATTTATTAGAATGGGTCAGAAATTGAAGTGTTCACATCTCAACCTATTAAATATACATTTATTTGTTTTTCTCTTACAAATCATTTATATGCTCGGAATATATTTTGATCCTTCAAAATTTGTATTATATCATTAATTATCATACAATAATTAAGACGTAATTTATGTAGAGAGTTCATGTATGTAATATCTTGTCACTACTTTAATTTATCCATTATTACCTTCAACATCAACTATGCACCTTCACCAGCAATCTCAACCACCATCAACCAATGGCGGAGTCACGCGCAATGATTTTTACGATTTTTATTTATAAAATTGGGATAAATCATAAAGCGAAAAGAAAAATGGGGAGGAGATTACAAGTTAGAAAATTAAACTCACACTAATAAGGTGAAAGTCAAAGAGTCAACTTAACTGAGAGCTGCCGAATGATGGATGGTCCATTGAATACCCTTCAGGCTTCGTCATAAAATTATATTTTATATATTGACGTTATATTGGTTAAAAGTTACTTCTATATACATGTATATTGATATCTGAACACCCTTAAAGAAATTTCTAACTTAGCTATTGCCACCAACCACCTTCATCATCAACATCCACCACACAAATGCCCCCTCCAACCATTACGACACCAATAACCACTATTGTCAATCACTATCACTATTATATCGCAGACACCCTAAGTAATTTTTTCATTTTGCGGGCGAGTCCAATTGAACACTTTGATATAATAATTGTGATAAATATAGAAAGCAAGTACGTGTGCGTCTGAACAAGGACATAATGAAAGGCAGGAAAAACCTTATCTTTTAACACAAAACAGTAAACTTTTATCCAAATTTTGAGAAACAGAGTAACCAAAAGACTGTAATCATATAACCATGGCGGTTTTGAGCTGCCAAACATACTTTATTAATTCTAAAAAAATAATAAAGACAAAGCCATTCATCTGTTGCTCATCATTATCATCTCAAAACAATGTGAAGGTAATCATAAATGGAGCTGCTAAGGAAATTGGCAGAGCTGCCGTTATTGCTGTCACTAAAGCTAGAGGAATGGAATTGGCTGGCGCTGTTGATTCTAATTTTGTTGGACAAGATATTGGACAGGTCAATTCAATTGCTTCATTCATTTCCATTATTCACTTATAAGAAAAAATTTGTGTTTTTATTAATTTCAGGTTTGTGACATGGAAGAGCCTCTAGAAATACCAATAATTAACGACCTTACCATGGTCTTGGGTTCAATATCTCAGGTAACATTTTTGCTTCCTTGGTGACTTGAACCTACAATCTCAAAGTTAGGAGGTGAAGGGTGTTTACCATCCGAGCATGTCAAAAAATTATGTTCTTGAATTGACCCAATATTGCTTTAATTCTGATCCAAATTATGGTTTCTGACATTGTGAAATTCAATTATTGCAGTTAAAAGCAACTGGAGTAGTCATTGATTTCACTGACCCTTCTACAGTTTATGACAATGTCAAACAGGTCCAATCTTCTTAATAGTATCACTTGTTTAACAAAAACGAAAATTGAGAAGGTTGAAATTTATGATGATTCAATTTTGTTTTGTAGGCAACAGCATTTGGGATGAATAGTGTAGTTTACGTGCCCAAAATTAAGCAAGAAACTGTCATGGCTTTATCTATGTTATGCGAGAAGGCCAGCACGGTGAGGGTGCAGGGTGAGATTTACAAATTTACACAACAATTTCATCATATGACCAATTACATTTTCAAACAATGGATTTAGTACTTTAAGGTCAATTCAAAGGGCACGTTTATGTATTATGCCAAGAAATAATTCTGGTTGTACTTAATTAAAAAGGCGCATGTTTTTGGCATTGATTTCAGGGTTGTTTGGTTGCACCAACTCTTTCAATTGGATCCATACTTCTCCAGCAAGCAGCAATTTCAGCTTCTTTTCACTATAACAATGTTGAAATTGTTGAGTCTAGAGCTAATCCAGTGGTAAGTACATGTACAACCCTGTGGCTGTTGAGTTATTTTTATGCATATACACTAAAATGTTGAATCTTCTCGACTTCTTTAAATATTTATTTTGAGTACCATTAATGAAGATTGTGGTTCCGCCACTTGGATGGAAGAAGATATTTTTCCGCACTACACATAACTAATTGAGGGGAATTCTATTAATTTCAAAACTAGAAGGGGGCCATGGCCAAGACCTAACACCATCTAATATGTTGTAATGCCATAAAATTCTTCTTTTCGAATAAAATAATAATGATGATAGTAAAGCTTAGTGCATGGGTCCATAACCTAGCTGGATACAGCCAATTAGGTAACTAACCTTTCTGTAGAATTTATTGTCATCTTAATCAAACAGCAAATGCTAACAGTGACCCGGTCGTCCTTTCTACAACTTTACACCCCGAATCTTCTTCTTTATTCGTTAAAATTCATAAACAATAACTTTTCGATGTAGTCATTGTCATGGAGTTTTTATTTCGCCTGTGAAATTTGAACAATTACAAGGTCGAAAAGTGACCAGTTAGTGTTATTTCTACTTCTCCATCACATCTTTGGAAGAGCCTAAACAACATGAGCAGTCTCTTATAGATCCTCACCTACGAACGTGCTCAAGACCTCATTTGTTTCTCGTCTTTTGGTTCTCTAGATCAGTTAAAGTTAATCTTCTTAATACAAAGAAAGCGACTAGAGATTCAACTGATGCATTCCAGAGTTAACTGTCAATAGTATAAATATTCTCGTACATCATGTCAGTGATTGTATACTAGTAGTTAGAGTATAAGAAAATGAAACCTGTCATTCATTAAATGCTAGTACTTATTGAATTACCAAAATCAGTGGTCAAAAGTAATGAAATTATTGCTGGCTGCAGGATTTTCCAACCCAGGATGCAGTTCAAATTGCTAACAACCTTTCCAATTTGGGTCAGCTGTATAATAGAGATGACATTTCTAGTGATATTCCGGTAAGATGCAACAAATCTTACAGACACGGTGCTACATGCAATTCATAGTTTTCAAGCTTGTAGTTGAACATAAAGAAGAACTATGAACTGGTAAATCCTTCGAAATAAGCCAAATCAAATAACATGAGAACATTTATAACCCAGCAGAACTTTGGAGTAATTGGGTCTACGGACAAGGCAATCTCTTGACTCCAGGAACATTCTGATATTTGGCTGCTTTTATCTTCTGTTCTTCAAGGCAAGGGGTCAAGTTCTTGGGGAAGACGGGGTGCGTGTTCACAGCTTGGTTCTACCAGGGCTCCCATCTAGTACATCAGTTTACTTCTCGAGGCCAGGAGAGGTATGTTTCTGAACCATACTCTCGGTTCACTACGGTAGACAGTGGCCATAGATTGTTGTAAATCTTATGGAAAATACCTTATTCACAAACACTCGTAGGAATTCTCCATAGCTTGAGGTGTGTCAATAGACGTTGTCCAATATTTCACCCGGTATAGGTGTGTCCCCCAAGATTCAACAAGCTCTTCTAGTATCAAACTAGGAGCCAAAATCTAATAAAGATTTAATAGAGAAGAAGAAGAAAACCCAGCAATAGAATCATAATCAGGATTACACTTTTGCCCATTTCATGAAAGTAAACGCAAAGAATCCTATATAGGCAACAAAAGAGACAAAAGGGCTCTAACGTTCTGAAACAACGTCCAAATATTAGAGCCCTTTTGTCTCTTTTGTTGCCTATATAAGATTTTTTGGGTTTACTTTCATGAAATGAGCAAAGTATAATCCTTCCTGATTATGGTTATATTGTTGGGTTTTCTTCTCTATTAAATCTTTGTTAGATTTTGGCTCCTAGTTTGATACTAGAAGAGCTTGTTGAATCCTGGGGATGCACCTATACTAGGTGAAATATCCTCAAGGACGGTGTCTTTCGACACGCCTCAAGCTAAGGAGAATTCCTACAAGTGTTCGTGAAGAAGGTAGTAAGATTTACAACATAGATCCCCCTTGTATTTATGAGAATCTCATTTGTAACTGTTGTTGATCAGGTTTACACACTAAAGCATGATATCACAGATGTGCAATGTCTCATGCCAGGCCTGATTCTGGCCATTAGAAAAGTTGTTCGCCTCAAGGTACCATCGATTAACCATTTCTTAACATATTTCAGCATCGATTTTACAGACTACACAACACTGTTTGTTTTCCCTTGGCAGAACCTGGTCTATGGCTTGGAGAAGTTTTTATAAGAACAGATACTAAGAGGCTAAAGGGACCATAGGCAACACTGAGATATCTTGTAAAGAGTACATGAATGGAGAGATATGAAAGACAGATGCAGCCAAGAGAGAAATTCCCAATATACTGCTGTTAAAGGAATGTTACAAAAATGTCGGATCACAATAAGCAACTTATTAAACAGCTGATAAAATCTGAGAATATTTTTTTTTCCATGTCAGCTAAAAGCCAGAATATAGAAATTGTACTCTCTAAAAGATGTCAAACTTAAACTGAATAATATCCCACCACCCCCACACCCCCAACACCCAACACCCCACCTTTTTTTTCGAGACTCATACTTCCAATCTAAATTTGAGGCAGCTCTTCATTCTTATTGCAATTCTTCTTTCCTCCCCCACCTCACACTTGGTTGACAGGTAGTAATTAGTAAATAGCATTTGTTTTACTTAAGGTTACACCGAGGGAAGCTCAAGTTGCATTTTGGTATCAAATCCACCTCCGTGCTTTAAACCTAGATTCCAGCCAATGGAGCCCCGTGCTTTAAACCTAGATTCCAGCCAATGGAGCCGCTAAATCATTGTTGTTATTTTTATTTTTTTTTACCTTTTCCTCTTTAGATTCTTGCTCCTTGCATACTCTATAAAGATTCATCATTAGTTGTATATTCTTACACATTAAAGAACCAAATTCCAGCCATGGCATTTCGAAGACTTAAAAAGTAGTTGTAGTTCTAATCGCACAATTGAAAGAACTCCCTCAAATACAGATTCAATAGAGTACAAGGAGATTTCAAATTTTGCCTATAAAGGAACAAAGCAAATTGTCACAGAATGCTGTACACTTTAAATTGACATTTCACAAGATCAAGATAAATAGCCAAAGACTAGAAAAATAAGAGACTATTCAATCCAAGATTACATACGAACCAATGACTAACCTTAAAGCTAATAATTAAGACAGTTGGCTTCTAACTGTTTAAAGAAAATATATATATTGCACTAGGCCTAAAGAACAGAGGAATATTTTTATCTCTGAACTTCATAGAATGGATAGCAATTTCTCCTATTGCACAAACCATCCTTATGATGGATCATTTGCAATATCCTGACATGCTCAAACAGAACCGAGTATAGTACTTTGCAGAAAATTAATAGAGAAAGGACAACTAAAGCCAATAAAAGCAGTAAAGAAAATATAATCAGATGGGGAGGTCCAAGAGACTAAAGGAAGCCATACCCTGGGTCATTAATTTGCTGAGCACCATTAAAAAATGTTTTGCTAGCTCCCATTAAAATCTGGGATATGGAATTAAAAATCTCACAAATTTTCATTAACCTCTTTTGGTAATTAAAGCATTTAATATTCTCCAACCATATGCTATCCAGATTTGCTGTTCTAAGAAAATCTTTAGTGTTGAGATGTACACATGGAGTATTATTTTTTGGGGACAAGCTAAGGTAAATAATTTACACAGCAAGACAGAAGAAATTTAATGGTTCGTCATAGTTTATGGTTTCGTTCAAGATTTTTGGAGCTATTACTCAATATTGCTTGAACCTACTGATGGTCAAAGGTCAATAACTGTGTCACCTACATGAATGCAACTATGCCAACACTTATGCACTGGGTCTCACTGGAACTCCGTAGTGAAGCACTTATTAGAAAGAGTGTTGCCACCTACATAACATGTCAAACAGAAGTTATCGTCACCTACATTACCCCCAGTTTGGTCTACCACAACATCATGACTCACCATTATCAATAAATAAGCACTCTTTTTTCTATTAGATCCTTATGCATGAAGATAACCAATTTGGTCATTATGGCCAGACTCTCTTATAGATTTCTACCCACATTCTAAATAGGGTCCTCTTATCTCTTTGATGTTTTTTTTACACCTATCTAGATTTAGCAACCTTCGGATTGAAGCAGACAGTAAATGTGGTTTAAGTCTTTAAGAAATGATTCTTTGTCCCAGAAACAGTTTTATCCCTAGAACATTTCAAACATTATTCAAATCAGAAACCAAACTAAGCTACTCGGTGCAAGCTCCGCTTAGAGAATTCAGACGTGAAAGATCCTAATCTTATTCAGCATCTTGATATCAAAAATCAGGAGGACCAATTGTCCTTGCAGGCTGTAACACTTTCACAAAATTGTGTTAATGTCCTTGCGTGGAATTTGTGGGCATGATTAGGTTCAGTATTGACCATTTTTCTTGAAACTTATGAGGGCCAATGATGTTTATTACAGGGGAAGTTCAGGTGCCATGCATTTCTTGACCATATTATTGCATCCCTACTTTATATGATGCTACATGCCCTAGCGAGCTAGCAGAATGTAGCCTGATTTATGGAGAGAAATGAAATAATGAATAAGCTTATATTCAGGTGGGTTGAACCAAAAGAGGATCTACTACATACAAAAAATTGTGTCTATAGCCTTCTGGAGGGGAAAGACTTCAATTAATTTACAAATACCACGGCGTCTTGAATGATACTTGTAAGATCATAAGTTCTGGATACCAGCTGCTAATCTTGCTATGGTCAGAAACTAAGCTTTCACTTATTCTCTTTCCATTGTGGGCGAGGAAGGAAAGGGTGAACTAACACATAAAAGTTTAAATCAAAAAGACTAGCTATTAGATTTCAACAGCAGAAAACTGAAATATTAAATACATTCAGAATAAAATGTCATGGATAATCTCCATCGCAAGCTTATTAAGTACCATCTACCAAAATATAACTCTTCTTCACTATCTTTTTCACAATAGCGTGTCAAGCATGCAATGATACACCATGGGTGAAGCTTTTTCCAAAAGTAAACATTGAGCACTTCCCTGATTTAAGTATATGGTAAAGAAATAAGACATCTAGCAGCAAAAAGGTGAACTTAAATATTTGCCTAGGGCAGCGAGTTGAACCAAGAGATGTCAACATAAAACGGAAACTCAACTAGTACACACCGTAGCATATCTGCAACCAAGTTTGCACCTAATCGCAGCTTTGAAGCTTTATGGATGTCATTAAATTAGCTCAATAAGCAAATTTTGAACAATTTTTTTAATGTATGTAAGTAATTTTCAGCAGCATTTGTTTATAGCATACTTTGAAGAAATATTAGAGGCTCTATAGATCTGCATGGACACACTTACCTCCAAACTTCTTTGCGACAGCTCCAACCCACGATCTATCTTTATTGTTGTATGCGTAACTATTGCTGGAAGCCACAAGCACAAAACCATTATTCTTCCACTTCTGGCTGGAATCTGAGGTTTCAGATTGTATTAGAGGTTGCACGAGGAGAGAACGGGTTCCTTTTGGAAGCATCTCCCACACTTCAGAGTCTAGATTATCACAAAAATGTGGAGAACCACATACCGTAACTTCGTTATAATACAACAGTGTAGTTTTCACCTTCATTCAAACTAGACAATGCGTAATTCACTATTTGAATGGACATCTCCTTCATAGAAACGCCATTAATAAATGAATACCTGAGACCTGTGGAAAATAAAGTGTCTCCTTCAAATCATGAAGACCACTTTGCTGGATCTGTTTCTCAAACCAGTCACATAAGTGAGCTTTCAATACATCTTTTGGTGTTCTCCAGTAGCCACGAGCACAAATTGTATCTTGAAGTGAGAAAAGCTACAAAATCAACATAACCTTCACAGTTGTAAGTTTTGAAACTTAAAAATTGTATCCGTACTATCTTCTTGAAAGATCCTCTGACTACTCCAAGTTGATACAATCTTGTCTATGGATACATACCACTGATATGCTGCTTGTGTTGCGCAACAAAACATAGGTTCCCCATGCCAAATCCTCCTTCAGAATATCTGATATGTTCTCTGTGATGACAAAGGCTTGCTCAGCATCTTCAGGAAGATTTCTTTCTTCTACTAGAACTGAACCCTGAATCCAATTTAGTCATTAACATATCTTAAGATTTATTTTTCAATAGCATATCTTCCAGTTTAAGAACGATGATATAGACCTCGTCTCTTAAATATCTACATAAAATATGAATACAACAGGTTAAAGGAAATTAACCGTTGAAATGAATATCATATAAGCATGTTGCGAACCTCTCTGGTGCTAAAGATAGAACAATGAATGCAACATGAGTGACCAGATGTAGTTTCAAACTTAAGTGAATATCATATAAGCATATCTTCTTCTTCTTTTTTTCTAAAACCTGGTTGATGCTTGGTCCATTCAATTGCTGACAAAAGTTAAACTGCTTTAACTGAACCGATAATAACGGCATTTGAGGGGCCGTACATTAAAAGTATTAAAGAAACCAATTGCTCGTAATGTAATACTTAACAAACCATAAAAATCTCTGTTGGGTGGAATTACATCTTGGACTACAAGATAGCTATCCTATGCAGGCAGAGTCCATTTGATTAACAATGTATTGTTTTCTATATAAAGATTCTGGTCCCAAATTTTTGTTCTGCCAAAGAGAATTATTCAATTGACTGAGGCCACCAGTAGAAGATTCTTATGGACAGGAAGAACTGATATATCGGAAAGAGCTTTGTTAGCTTGGAGAAGGTTTGCTATCCAAAATCATCTGGAGGGCTACATATCCTTGATATTTTCACATGAAATAGAGCTGCAGGAAAATTACTATGGAACCTATGCAAGAAGAAAGATACTCTACGGGTACAGTGTGTACATGTATACTATAGAATGGGTAGCGTAATATGGGAGGCTGTACCTAGACAAACAACTTGAATGGTACAAAAGGTTTTAAAGGCAAAGTATATGACGAAGATGCTCGAGTCATGGTGTCTGAAATGCAGCAGAAGAAAACCTTTTCCATAAAAAGAATGTATCAAAAGATGAGGGGAATATTTCAAAAGGTTACATGGAGGAGGCTGGTATGTAATAACCATGGATTCCCTAAGTGGATCTTCATCCCGACTTTAGCAGCATGTGGTAATCATAGCACTAGACACAGATTGGCTCAATGGGGTATAAAAAAAAACTAGGTTTGGATGTGGTAGTCGTAGCTAGAATTTGGATGAATTAGCTTCAGCAGAATCACATGGGAAAGGGAAGAATGCAGCTGCTGAGCTCTGCCGAATGTCCTTTGCTGGCGGCATTTATTACATATGCACATGAGCTAAGATTAGAGAAGCTAAATTTCTAACCTTAGAATAGTAGTTTGGATACATAGTTGCAGACACATGCAACTTCAGTTAATTGTTTGTTTCTGTACATATTTCCACTTGGTAATAAAATATATCCTGATTTTTGGTTTGATAATTTTATAAACTGATCAGCCTCAAGTAAATTGCTTGATTTGTTTTAGCAGCCAAGGATGTACAAGAACAAAATGGTGCAATTATCTCAACAGAGAATACATAGACAGAGAAATTACCTTAAGAAACTTCCCAAGGTAAGGAACTATAACAGAGAACACAGCCAGAAGAAGACCTAAAACTTCCGTTCTCTGTAGAAAACAGAATACACTGAATTAAAATTACACTTGCAGACAACAAATATGAATAGAGTTGAATACAATTGTTGACTCACTAGCTGCGCTGTGGTGATGGCGGATGAGTCTGAGCCGAGAAAGTGATTCAATACCAAAAGAAAACCAAATGCGTAGCCGATGTATCTCGGCAAATAAGATTCGTCCAATCCAGGTATTCCTTTGAAGGAATAGCCAACACAGGCACAAATTTTAGAGACTAGACAATACATGCGTATATACTGATTGAAATCGAGAGACAAATAGAAGATTTTTGGGTCTACCGAGAGTGAAACGAAGCACGGAAAGGTTAAGCTGTTGCTGTTGAGCATTGCTTTCCGTAGAATTCTCGAGACGACTATAGACTATCAATGATGATGCCTTTCTGGTTTTCCGGCACCGGAATTCTGACGGCCATATGGATTTGCCGTATCTTTTCACGGGAAACACTGACGGCGTTAATGAGTTCAACAATAGACAGGTATAGCTCATTTTCTGTAGCTTCCGTCTCCCTCCGTCAAATGGATAATGTCAGTGAAAACCTCGCCGTCGGCTATGAGTCGCCGGAATGTTGTTGTACCACGCTCCAGTAACGAGCGTGTTCTATTGAACTCTCAAAAGAAAATTAAAAGAAATTGGGAGTTTTCCTTTTTCTTTTTCCTTCTCTTTTTTTACTGGATAAAAAGAATGCACGGAGTGAGGACGCATCCAATTATGGAGAAATTTTATTTTGCATGTCACACAAACAACTATATTACCCAAAGTTATGTCAGTGGAATTTGCCACCTAAATAGCTTGTTTGGAGTTAGTTTAAATACAATATCTATTTTGATAACTATTAAAACTTTGTTGCGTAGTAAAATTTATTATATTTTGTAATGACAAAAGATTTTATTTTTATATAACGATCAAATTGATGAAAATTGATATTGTGTTGTAAAGTTTATTATATTTTGTAATGATAAAAGGTTATATTTTTATATAACGATCAAATTAATGTAATCATGTTGTTATCATTTATTTTTCTCATTTTACATTTATTTATTAATAATTATATTTAATTATCTATCCTTTTTATATATATAGTAGCGCTATTCCATATTATATATATATATATATATATATATATAGGTTTATTTTTCAAATTGTTGATGTGTAGCGTTATGTAATTATGCTTCGATTGTATTTATCAAAATAATACAATATATTATGAAATAATAGTTATTAATGTGTTGTAATTTGTTAAATTAGTTAATGACAATTTGTTAGATTAGTTATCATCAATGTAGTTAAATACTTAATTAGTTAAAAATTATTAATTAATTAACTAGTATGTGCCTTGATGCACACCAGAATCTATAGTAATAGATCAAAAAGTCTTGTACATACCAGGTTTAAAACTAATATTTTATGTTCAATATTCATTTTGTTGGTGTTTTAGGTCTTTATGTTATAAGACCTAAATCGTAATTTCTTAGATGTTTATATTTTTTTTACGACCTAAACTCTAGTTTTATTAGTACGTACATTTTTTCAAGTTTATTTTATTTGTGTTTTAGATCTTGAAGATACAAGATCAAACCCTAATTCTTTTAAAGTTATATTTTTTTCAAAAATCTAAACTCTGGATTTTTTAGTATGTATATTGTTTTAAAGTTTTTCTTGTAGGTATTTTAGATCTTAAAGACTTAAACCCTAATTCTATTTTTCAGGTTTATCTTGTTTGTATTCATTTATCAAACATTTTTTTTGCCAACTATTTCTTATTAGTATGATTTATACCTCTTTTTGGTAAGTTTGAAGTTTGCCGTCTGTTATCATATGATTTATAATATTTTTGATAAGTTTGAAGTTTAATGTTCGTGAAGAATCTAATCAAACACTTAATTTGCAGAATCATTGAATATTGTTTCACCAGTTAGAAAGTGCAATCACATGTATATAAACACGAACTATATCATATAAAATCACAGTCTAAAATCGTACTTGTTACAATCGTTCATTCCAACACTTTTTGGAAAAGAAACCTTCAAAGAATCTTTACACAAACTTTATGAAATTGGGGAAGAAGAAGGAGAAGAAGCAGAAGAAATGTATGTTCTTTTTGGAACGGTAGAGAATGAAAAGATTCTCTTCTTTCTTTTTTTTCTCTTGTGAGAACCCTTAATTCTAAAGGGACACATCTATTCAAATAGTTGTGCCTCTTCGGAAGGGATAAAAACTATTCAAATAGTTGTGTCTTTTCATTATATTAATTAATAATATAATACATAATTTTTTATATATATATGTTTTCTTCTCACATGGATCCGGATTGACCCACATGGGTGATCCGATCCAATTTCCTTCAGTTCATTAATTGCCAATTTCAATTAAACTAGTTAACGATTAACTAATTAATATTTTTTTTTAAATCACAAGTATACGTATCATATGCAAAACAATTAAATAATAATTTCCACCCTAAATTAATTAACTAATTAATAGTTTTTTAAAACTAAGTAAATATTTAACTATATTGATAATAACTAACCTAACAAAGTAATATAAATATTAAATAGCTAAATAACACATCGATAATTAAACCAACTAACTAATTACCACATTAACAAAGAAATTAGCTTAACTATAGCATGCATGATGCATGTTTTGAAAATAATAATTAAACAAAAATATAAATAATACAATTAACAGACAATAAATAATTAATATTTAAGAAAACAAGATAGTTATAAATTCAAAGTTCAAACTACCAACAAAAAAAAAGTGTATTAAAAGGTACGTTCTATTAATCATAACATTGGTTAAATTTGATATGTTGATGAAATTTATGGATCCGGCTCCCCTCCATTACCTCTTCCCTCCATTTCGTCAAGTGCACGTCTAGATGAGAGACATGTGTCTTATTTAAAATTTAAAGGTCAAGATTATATTATATTAACAAATTAAATATCATAACCATGGTTAAATCAACTAAATTTAGAAAACAACTCTCTAAATTTAGTAAGAATTATAATATATTCCAAACAAAATTTGATATTTATTAATATCATTAATTTCATCTTATATTTTTACAATTTGATATTTATTAATATCATTAATTTCATCTTATATTTTTACAATTTGATATTTATTAATATCATTAATTTCATCTTATATTTTTACAATTTGATATTTATTAATATCATTAATTTCATCTTATATTTTTACAATTTGATATTTATTAATATCATTAATTTCATCTTATATTTTTACAATTTGATATTTATTAATATCATTAATTTCATCCAATTCTTACTAGAATCTGCCCAACAAATTAAAAGAAAAAAAAATAGAAAAGAGAAGGTAAAGAAAAACTACAAATGTATCCGAATAATTAAAATTCTTCTTCGTAATTTATATCCTGAGAGGAAAATAAATATGGAAATAGCAAAAACTGATTTTCAAAAGCTATTAATTAATATGATTAGAAGATTTTTATATTTTTACATTTAAATATAAAAATATAAGATGAAACTAATGATATTAATAAATATCAAATTTTGTATGGAATATATTGTAATTCTTATCATATTTGGAAAATAGTTTTCTAAAATTAGTTGACTTAGCTATGGTTGTGACATTTGTTAATATAATAAAACCTTGACCTTTAAACTTTAAATAAAACACATGTCTCTCATCTAGACGTGCACTTGACGAAATGGAGGGAAAGGATAATGGAGGGGAGCCGGATCCGAAATTTATGTAGCACATTAAATAAATATGATATAAGTAAATTTCATCAATATTATTTAATCACATTATTTTGATCACTTTTTATTTTTCATTCATCCATCATTTAGATTCCAAACTCATACCTAACATATATATGATTTTGATGTACGCACCCAATATGTAAGTTTTTATCGTACTAGAGTTTGGATAACATCAGAAAACAAAATGAAAAGTGTTTATTGTTACGTACAATTATTTTATTTGTAAACAATTTATATGCTGGCCTCATCTTTGCATCCCGTGAATATACTAATGATAAGAGAAGGGAAAAAGGGAGAAAAGAAATAATAACAACAACGAATTCCACCGGCGATGCACATTAAACATGTTATTATTACTATATTTATATATATTCAATTCTACCAATGAGTTCCATCAGAAAATCAAAGCATAAAATATGGTCTTTGCTTTAATTTATTTAACTTTAGAATGCAAACTGGTCAAAGATTCTCCACTCACTATCCTTCTTATTTTTTCACTTTATATTTCTCCTTCTTCTTCCTCGTATATTTTTTTTAAAAAAATACCCCATCCCCATTATTACACCTACCTAATTAAAAATAATAATCTCAATAGGTCAATTAATTAATTATTTATTGTCATTCATCTAATAATGAATAAAATTATAATATTATGTAATAGTGAAATTTTATAGATAAAGTCTGAAAAGGATAAAGTGTACAAATACCTTATTTTTATCACATAAATGTAGAGATATTATTTTCAAAATTTAACTAACACATATCAAAGCAATTTTTTTAAAATAGTACAAAAGAAAAGACATAACAAATACTAATAAAAAACATTATACAATATTTACTACGATCTATCTATCAAGAAAAAGAGAAGTAGGACATATATAATTTATTTGTGATGGAAAAATCATAAGAATATTTTAGAATATTTTCAGTTAGTTTAGATTTCAATGATTTTTACTGTCACATCATCCATTTAAATTGATAGTAACGTTGTTGGCAAGCAAATCAAACTAGTCAACATATTTAAGCTTGCAAGTCACTAAATACAATTTCACAAAAAATTAACAAATCTATATATAAGCAGACTTAACATACAATCAACTTTAAAACAAAATATAATTTGAGTTGTGTTTGTATATTAAAAATATTCATTTGGGCTCGATTGATTAGGTACTAATTAAAATTAAAGCCTGATAAATAGAACAAACAATTTTTAAAACACTTTTTTGAAATGAACTGAATATTAAGCAATACAATGATCAATAGACTTGATTTTCTAGTTTAATTAGTGATTACCATTGTTTTCACGAATTCTATAAAAAAAATATAATTATTTGATTTTGTTTTCACGAACAAACTATGTTTTTTTTAAAATAAATGAAAATGTATATACACCAATGAAATTTTAACATTTTGTAGTATAACGTATAGACATATTTATTTGAAAGAGTACAACATTTTAATAAATGATAGGAAACTAGAAGAATAAACACGTTGGATGTAATATAATTAGTAAGACAACCATCTATCTGATGGAACATGCGAATGAACATAAACATATATATATATAAAAAAAAAAAATCAAATAATTACATATAAAAATAGACAATAATTACAAAACGAGATTTACCTAAACATTATTGTTTAAGCCTTTTGTCATGATTTAGATTGTCGTGAGAGACACCAACATTAACTCTCCAGTGGGAGAGAACCATTTACTAACCTCTCAGCCATTTAAAAGAATCAAAATCATAATATAGAATGATAAACACAGTTTTAAAACAATAATGAAGCAAGTTTCCATAAACTCAACCCATTATCAAAAATTATTGCGGAAAATAACTCCCTAAAATCTGAAAGTCATAGTAGCAAAACTTCAGAATATCTAGAATAAGAAGATGCAAACCCAACACAAAAAAACATAAGTCTAAAATCTAAAATGTCTATATCTGAAAAAGATGGATAACGAG